GAATCCTGACGGCAGTTGCACAGACCCTGGCCTCAACGTTGACATCTACGCCGTCCCACCTCCCACTTCCTACACCGTCCCAGGACCCAAAGTCTGGCGCGGATAGATTCCTCTTAATACATACGGACTTCTTTATTAAAATTAATACTCATTTGTACCAACACATTCCTTCAATGCATACCCATCATTTGACTTTGCGTGCAGCGTGTTGAGGGTGAATTTCAGAGTCTTGATGCGAGCTGTTCAGTGGTCCTCCAAGACTTTCGAGCCGTGTTTCTGCTTGATTCCCAGGCTCGCTCTAAAGAAGATTCACCAGCGATGTAAGTCGCAAAATATTCGGCATGTTGAGAATTCGAGCATCCTTGTTGTCGGAGACCCGGAGGTGTAGATCTTGAACACAAACCTAACACCAACCTTCCGACTAGAACATAGATGAAACGAACGCCACGGATCCTTTATATCGAGAAGACTATGCTTATATGAATTTTCCATTGGTTGTAACCCCAGGTTCCAGGGAAAAGATCGAGAATATAAAGGTTATCTGTTGGACTTGCGGAGAAGTTTTTGGAACGGAGAAGGGCACGGAACACAGTTAAATCGATAGGACTCGCAGTGCAGGAAAAACGTTCATAGAGACTTCCCGGGTGGGGGCACCGCGGATTGAACGCGGGACCTTCAGAACGATGATATCTCTTCAGTCTGCTGCTCTCCCAACTGAGCTATGCCCCCATGTCTGACTTTTCTGCTAGGCCTATGGAGGGAGCATGTGCGCAGCGGAGGGGAAGCACCCACCCGGGGCCGAAACGTTCAAGTTCAGGATGATGCTGACATGCTTGGGCCTCGTCAACCTTCAGCCTCATCTGATCCGTACACTCTGTAAAATTCCGTGGGCACTTGAAGTTGTAGCTGAGGTACAAAACCATGATAAAAACTCGGATTGCCAAAAGTGAGCCATCCCACATTGGGGTATGTGCCTACGCCACACTTATGGCTTGCTGAATGGGGGCACCGCGGATTGAACGCGGGACCTTCAGAACGATGATATCTCTTCAGTCTGCTGCTCTCCCAACTGAGCTATGCCCCCATTACGTCCTACCTTTCTCTCCTCCAACTAAACCCCCCCTAATTCCTCAGTTCCAAGGCGGGTTTCTCGTATCTCATTCAGGGCCCTAATCCCAATGCAGAGGCCACATCAGCCCAACACCCTTGGAACTTGGTAATCTATATCATTCACTTTCAGTTTTATATCATCGTTGATGAAGATGTGAAGAATCAACTTTACCTTGTGGCGCGCACGCAGCACGCCAGAAAAAAAAGCTGGCTGGATATTGTGGCAACCTTATGGGGCCACGGAGGGTCAAACACAGCCAGCCCATGATCCGACAAGTCCAAAGTTGCAAAGATCTCGAATGAACAACTCCCCCAAGGCCTATTACCGCACTAGATCTGCAATATGAAGAACAGTCAGCCAAAATATACCCCCCGTAGGAGAATTGGATGACTTTCCTGCAAATGTTCTGGATCCAAATCCACTGAGATTCAAGTTTGTTTGACAAATCATAGGAGCACCATGACCTCCCTTCACCTGATCCGAGAAGAGTTGGCTGCATGCAAACAATAAAACTTTCCAATTAAAAGTCAGAAGGGCGTACACATTCTGCGGATCGAACGCAGAGGCCGCACACGTTCTGAACGCGACTCAAGATAGGGAGAGCCCCGAATGAGTTATGTGTTGCCTCGGGCAAGTTCAATCCCACAAAATAAGCGGAATGGGTAATCAGCGAGTGGAACGCCGAGTATCCCTGCAACGGCGTATTTTCACAGGTGAACATGCGACAAATAATATAGGTGCAAGTCTGCATGCAAGAAAAGACGATTGCGCGCCGAATGCTTCGAAATGGGAGGGACACTTCCATCACTGCCTCCAGCATTCGGACGAAAAGCCGAGGCGCGTCATCGGACATTGTGGGCTTTTTCGGATCGATCGAGGCATGTGTCGCACTGCGATGACAGTCGGCGTCCAGCGTTCTCGGTCAAGTTGATGTTGTTCTAGTGCTGTGACGTGAGATTCTGATAGTGACGGGCCATTGAACAAAGGGGCGGGGAAAGTCGAGCAACTGCGGAAAAGGCGGGTGTCGTGGTTCGAGGGTTGAGTACTGAGTTCGTGTTCAACATGTTACTGGTTTGGTGATTCGAAGCCTTGAAGTCGCGGTAGATGATATAGTTGGGTCGGGTTGACGAATTCGGGACGTTGGATCACCGCCACAGCTTGTGGTAGCCGTCAAGTATCCGTAAGAGCTACAGGCCATCCGTGTGCGCAGTGCTGTTACTGTTACTTAGCTGAATCACAAAACTTGTCGGAACTCGGACTTGTTGCCTACTCACTTCTGCGCATCACGTTTCCAGCCAATAATAAGCTCCAATTTACGCGTCTCAAGCGATTTTCAAGCTTTAAAACGCGTTCCGTCATTACCAGAACTTCATCCTCGCAAGTCCTTGCCATGCGATTTTTGCACTTCTACGCCGTGATCGAAGTTGACGGTATTGCATTACAAGAGTATTAAGTCAAATTTGACCAGGCAAAAAAGATGGCAACGCGTTGGATCCCTTCCAAGGTCGGAAATGTGTGGTACCGGTATATTCGACAGATTCCGATGGAGCTCTAGCTAACTTAATGTCAATCTGATGTAGCAATTTTCCATCATCTACCAGCCGTTGAAATGGCACGCATTTGCAATCTCGCGCAGGGCTCGTGTCGACGGAACCTATGTTGGAGGGCTACTCAACGAGCCCTATCATTGTGATCGCAGAGTTCACAAGGACGTCAGGACCTCGCCATCCTTGGCCAGGCCCCAATATTTTCTGCTATACAGTTTACAGGTAACTCCTTTGTCTCAGGCACACACTCATTTATGATGATGCGCTTGCCAACTTCCCCCCCAAGACTTTGGTGACATCGTGCTAGAGGCGTGCCACGTAGAACTCGGGAAGAGGTCATAGGCGCAATCAATAGGTGACATATGGGTAGACCCGAAAGTTCGCGAAACAGCAAGAAAGCAATGACGCTTCAAGTGAAGTGAGTTGCGAAGGACCAATTATGTCAGGCTCATCTAATACGACATGTTGATCTTTTCTCAGGTTTGGTAGCGAACAAGGTCAGACCCGCTCGCAAGACCAAGGTAATCTCCGAGCTCGTCACTCTTTTTTTCAAATATCGCACCTGCTGGAACATCTATCTCCCTACGTTACAAGTGCAAGGGAATAAGGGGAAAAGAAGGGCTGACGAACTTCCTCTGAAGGAAGAGGATGGAGAATCTGACGAGGAGGAATACAAGGACTGAGTGGTGGGTTGAATCTGTTTGTCGCTTTGGTATTTCTGGTAACCAACTATTAGGAGGCATTATGCTTGCTCGAAGGCCGATAGCAAACCTTCGAAGAAGATAAAGTCGGAACCGACAACTTGTTCTCCTCTTGTTTCCACTGAGGTTATAGACCTTACTCGACCAACTCAGTCCAAAATATCCCGATCTGGAAACTTGAGACTAGATGCAAGTCTGTTGAAACGTCGTTATAGCTGGTAATTCTGCCTCTTACAAAGCTTTCATGTATTGGGTTTCTTTTCCAGACAGCGAGTACCCAAAAGACTTGAGGGAGGATTCAAAGAGAGTCGGAGCTGAAACCGCAGCATAGCATAGCGGCGAAGGCGATTCCGATTCCGATTCCGATAGCTTCTTCCTTCCTGCTATCTGTCAGGTTGAATTTTTTGAAGGAGCCTCTCTTGAATCGACTCTCCATTCTGTCCTTCATGGCGCCTCACACTGCTCTATTGACTTTAGATATCCTGCAAGAAATTTTCCATTGTTTGATCCATACATCAGACGATGAGTTACGGAATCATACGCCTCCTCGAGGAGATCGCTTGGCTCTTGCGAATCTAGCACGTTCTTGCAAAGCGTTCACAGAGCCAGCATTGAACGCTCTTTGGTCGCGATTGGGTAACCTCACGCACATTTTGAGGCTCCTACCCGGATTTCGTAAGGAGGGTGGCTACTACGTACGTTAAACGGCCCTCATTTACGCTTCCTTGGTGTGGGTATGCTAATATACTCCTCCAGGTTATAGATGGGGTAGTGACCGAACAAGACTGGGCACGATTTGACTTCTACGCAAATCGTGTTCACCATCTGTATTTCATTGATCACGGCGAGATACACCCGTCTGTGTATATTTGTCTCCTACTGCTCAGACCCTCACCGCTATTGCCCAATCTTCAATCAATTGTCTCATGTCCAGGTGGCTCAGCAAAGGGCGGTGCAGGGATATTGATGATGTTATCTTCTGCCTTGGTCAACGTCAGCATACTTGGGAACAACTCGACCCCACTATTCCCCGAGGTCGGGACATGTCTTGAAATGATGCCCTACGCAGCACCAATGCTGAGAGTGTTGCATGTCCAAACGACGCTCACTAGACGGTCTTATTCCACGTTTCCTCGAATGACTAACCTCGAAGCTCTTTCCTTGATTGGCAAGGGCAATACCGATGCGGGATTTTTGTCTTCCCTATCGGCTTTGGAACATCTCCATACCTTGAAATTCGACATTGATGATTCTGAAATCGACCACGCAGATTCAAATAGACCTTTACCATCCTCATCATTTTTTCCTTCGCTGAGAACTCTTGAGGTCTTCGGACCCCCACCACGGATCGCTAATTCTTTGGCTATCTTTGAAGAAGGACACCCGCTTCGTCAACTTAAATGGGAGTCGTCTTCCCTGGGCCCTCAAATAGACGTCCCAGATCTTGCACTGTGGACCTCAGCTACCCGAACCATTGCCCTCAAGTTTCCATACTTACACGATCTCAAGCTGAAAATTCTAACACCTAGAAATTTCCTCTCACCAGCTCAAGCTTACTTCCTCGAGCCCCTTCTCGAGCTCAATTTCTTGGAAGTGCTACACCTCCAATTTCCTTGGCTATCTTTTTCCGATGCAGAATTCGAACGGATGGCGGTTGCTTGGCCCCACTTACGCAGCCTTCGCCTTTTGGGATCTTCAGGGATTCCCAAGGCCACCATATCTTCCCTCCAATCATTTGCTATCCACTGCCCGAATTTACATTCCCTGTCATTTGCCTTCGACGCCCGCCAATTCAAATTACCTTCTCCTTCCGTCGATGAGCCCATCTCCTTCAGCAAATTGCACACCCTCGATGTACAAGATTCTCCCGTCGACGACTCGCTACTCCTTGGAAGACATTTGGATCGTATCTTTCCAAACATCATTGGGATAGAGGGGACCGATAATCCAAAAATTTGGGCTGAGGTGTTGACCACCATCAATAACTTGCTGTTAGCTAGATCAGACCAGCGAGCGCGAGAGGAGGCGACTCGTATGAACTTCTCCCCTTGAATAAATTGTTTGTGAGTGTCAAAATCATTAAGCCAATTCTCCTCAATACTTCAGCGACTTACAGAGTTCTAATGCTCGCAGGTTTCACGAGCACGTTACTATACCATTGCTTGCGTTCAGCATTACTTCTTGCACAAATACTTATATGTTGACCAGCTGTAGCCAGAATTACGCCATGATAAAGATTAAAACTGTCCTTCTTGATCGGGGATCACTTTCAGTCGAACCAAGGAGAGGAAGAGAAAACGGCTTCGTGACATGCGATGCCATATAATACACCATTACAGGACAATGATCATTGTGTTTGAGCTCCGTACC